ATGAGGAAATTGAGGTAAACAGGGTGAAGTGACTTGTCCAGGGTCACCTAGCTAGTGTCTGAGGCCAGATTTGAACTCAAGAAGATGAGTCTTCCTGACTCCAGGCCCAGAATTCTAATCACTGCACCACCTAGCTGCCTTAGTTCACCAGAAATAACTAAGCCAGGAAGCTACCAGACAGCTTCCTCCTACATTTCCATCCCCTTGAACCAACCTAGCCCCATCCCGACTTCAGATCTGCAGGGGGATCCCTAGTAGTGGCCTCCCGTGACCCCATGTCCCCAGTGTCTCTGGTCCAAGGAAGCCAGTGTCCAATAGTTCTGTCCCCATGGAGCCTGATGTCCCAGGGAAAAGGATTCACACGTACAACAATATTTACAGCAGCTTTTTTTGTGAGGGCCAAGAATTGGAAATGGAGGGGATACCCATCAATTGGGGAAAGGCTGAACAAGCTGTGCTATGTGAGTGTAATAGAAGACTATTGTTCCATAAGAAATGATGAACAGGATTTCAGAAAAACCTGGAAAGACTTATATGAACTGATGCTGAGTGAAGTGAGAAGAACCAGGAGAACGTTGTACACAGTAACAGCAACACTGTGTGATGATCAGCTCTGATAGACTTAGCTCTTCTCAACAATACAAGATCCAAGACAATCCCAAAAGACTCATGATGAAAAATGCTATCCACATACAGAGAAAGAACTATGGAGTCTCAGTGCAAATTGAAGCATACTATTTTCACTTTTAAAGAAATTTTTCTGTGGCTTTTCCCTTTTGTTCTGTTCCTTCTTTCACAACATGACACTAATGTGTCATGAAATAGCTTTACATGATTGCACATGTATAACCTATATCAGATTGCTTGCTGTCTCAGAGAGGGTGGATGGAAGGAAGGGAGAAAAAAATTTGAAACTAAAAATCTTATAAAAAATGAATGTTGAAAACTATCTTTACATGTAATTGGAAAAAAAATAAAATACTATTTACCAAAACCAAAACAAAACAATGTCTCTGCCAGGATCCTCTTCATCAGGCTGGTCAAGCCATTTCCTTTTCAGTCTGCTAGAGTAAAAGTTGCTAAAATCTCTTCTTGACGAAGGCATCCTAATGAGGGAAACCACACTGTAACAAAGTCAGCTGCAAGTCAGATAAAAGACCCCTCGGTGCTTGGGACGAAGCAGCAAAAAAGATGGTAACAACACTGTCTTTTGTATTATTTCTACGAATAGAACCGTATCAGTTTCTGAGGCTGAAGCATCTAATGTGTAGGCCCTCATCATGGAGCTGGGGGCCCTTCGCCACAAGGATTTCTTTTTCCCTGAACAATGGTTGCGGATCTGGACTAGAAGCAGGGCCTGGAATGGTTGGGTGGGAAGTGGGCATGCTGTTCCTGGGCTTCTTAAGCTTATCCTGTCTGTGGCAGGCTGTGTTAGCTTTGGTCAGCCAGTCAATCAACATACAATTATGCCAGACCCTGTGCTAAGCTTGTGGGTATACAAGAAAAAGGAAAAATATGGTGAGTCCTTAAAGAGATCACATTCTAATGAGGAAGACCACATTCAGATAACTATGTACGCACAGGGTATATGCAATGTAAATGGAAGGTGATAACAGGGAATGCTCTGAGAGAGGAGAGAGCCTGGAAGGACCTCCTGCCTATGAAAGGTGGGAAGCTGGACAGCAGATGTGAGGAAAAAGAACATTCTACTTATGGGGGACAGCCAGTGTGAAGTCATAGAACAGGGAGATAGTGTGCTGCGTGTAAGGAGTAGCAAATATTGGTGTTGGTGGAGGTAGGGATAGTGGTCCTCTTCTTCAGAAGGGTTGCTCCAATGGATGATGGCTGTGGTGGTCAGGCTAGAAGAAGAGCCAGTGGTCTGGGGCCACCACTGTTCCTTCAGTTTAACAACTCATTGTCCACTGGGACTGGAATCTAGACTCTTCCAGCTCACTGACTGTGAGAGTTTGGGCAAGTAAATCCCTTCCCTATGCTGAGCCTCAGTTTCTCCGTCTGTACAGTGAAAGGGCAGATGAGATGGGCTTTATAAAGGTCCACCTTCCAGTTTAGAGGTTCTTTGTGCCCTGGTCCCTCACTGTACTGTGGGGAGACTGAGGCAGGGGAGTTGGTCTCATGCTCCTTAAGAAAGAAGGTTGCCCAGGGTAGGTCCCCATTCACTGACCTGAGCTGGGACAAGAAAGTGCAAATCCTTTAGTCTGCCTTTGACCAGCTGTACAGCACAGACCCCAAGACTAGGACCACCTGGATTCATCGTAGATTGCGTTTAACATGGTGGTTAAAGGTGAGCTCACAGGTGTTCCTGTACAGAAAGGAGTTATGCACAAATTCTAGCAAGGTTCTACCTAGGTCAGAGCGGTTAAGGGTCTATACTGTCCCCTCCCCTTTAGACCCTCCCCTCTGAGACAACCGCTCTGCCTCCAAGCTGAATGACCCCGCCCCTCCCTTCTGCCCCCGCCCCCTCGGCTGCACCTGCTTGCACCTCCGGCTGTCAGTCCGCCCCTAGGGGCAACAGCCAATCCCAGGCTAAGAGTAATGAGCAGAAATTGATAAGGTGCCTTAAATAAAGTCTGGCAAAGGGCTTTACCTGAGTTATCTCATTTGATTTTCGCGTTGACCTTATGAAGTCGGTGATATCATTAGTCTCATTTAACAGATGAGGAAACTGAGGTGCAGAGAAAATAAGTAATGGTTCTGAGGCGAAATTCCGCACTCAGGTCTTCTGGACTCCAAGTCTAGCACTGTGTCCACTATTCTCCCTTCCCCCAACAACCCACCGCTCCCATGATGAGGGGTTGCCTCCTAGGAACTGCTTCCTCCTTTGTATAGCCAAATCTATTGACCCCCTTAGGGCCTTGACTTTAATGCCTCGGAAGGGGCTCTGGATTCAGAGTCAGAAAATCTTCCTTCAAATCTTGTCTCTGCCCACTGGCTGCCTGTGTGGCTCTGGGTAAGTCACTTAACTTCTGGGCCTCATTCATGTCATCCATCCATCCATCCAACCATCCATCCATCCATCCATCCATTCATCCATCCATCTGAATAACCAACCTTGGCCTAAGAATGTGCTTGGACTTGGAGTCGGAGGTCCTGGATTCCCAATCCCAGATCTCCCACTTGGTTAAAATATTTAATCTCTCTGGGATTTAGTTTTCTCATCTGTAAAATGAAGGGGTCGGGGAGAAGTGGGGGTTGTGGTTGAAGTAGATGATCTTCAAGGGCCTTTTCAGCTAAATGTAGGATACTCACCGCCTCCAGTCCATTCAGGACTTGGGAGAAGAGGCAAGATCGGACAGTCAGTTTAATCTGAGAATGCTCTGAAGATAGACCCTCCTTGGTTTTCTCCGGACAGAGTCTGAGGGGAGTACCCTGGAAGGAGTCGGGGAGTGTGTGTAAGGGTGTTAGAATCTTGGATGGGGGCCTGCTCTGGGGGTGAGTCTGAAGAGCTCTCAGGGGCCGTGGTTTGAGGAATGTTACTCTGAGGATAGAGCCGGGGGCAGCAGGTCTGAGATGAATTAGTGAAGAGAAAGCCTGGGCTGTGGGATAGGCTAGTGGGGTGAGTGGGATCTGAGGGAGCACAGCCCAAGGAGGGGATGGAGAGGGCGTGTTAGAATCTCAGAATTAGAGAGTGGTGGGGGCGGTTCTCAAAGTTCATCTAATCCAACCCGTACAGGAATGGAATCCCCACTGTACCTCACTCAGCAGAGGGTCGGTGACCCAGCCTCTGCGAAGAACTCCGCGGAGGAGGAAATCCACTGCCCTTTGAGGCAGCTCCCTACACTTTGGGACTTTGCTAATGGTTAGGAGGTTTTCCCTCCAACCCAAGCCTAAACCAGCCTCACTGAAACTTCCATGCACGGCTCCTAGGTCTCCCCCCTCGCCCCTCACCAAACAGACCAAGCCTCCACAGGACAGCCTCCAAATGCTTGAACACAGCTTTGCTCCCCCACCTGAGCATTCTCTTCTCCAAGGTAAACATTCCCAGTGCCTTCATCCGTTCAAACGATGCACTCAAAGGACCCTTCACCATCCCGGTCACTCTCCTCCGGATCAGTTCGAACTTACTGTTGCGGCCCCCAGAACTGAACACAAAATTCCAGAGGAGATCGGAGGAAGGCGGAGGACAGTGGGACGGACTGTCATCTCCCTATGCCCGGGAACTACACCTTTCTTATTGCTGCCCTAGGGATGGGGTTCTAGGTTCTAGAGTAGAAGGGAGAGAGGAGAGTGTGAAGGAATGGGGAGAGGGGACAAAGGTGTGTGTGTGGGGGGATGTATTCCAGACAACTGCAAACCCATCTCAGACTCAATGCCCCAGCATCATTCATTCCAGGTCCTTGCTCCATTCATTCCTTCAATCACCCATTCCATCAAACAACCTTCGCTAGACTGTGCTAGCCCCTGCGACTTTGAGCCAACAGGAGCAGCCGGGTACGAGGGAAATGCCTGGGAGACAGAGAACTTGGGTTCAAATCCCAGCTTTCCCACTGACCAGCTGTGTGACCTTGGGCCAAGTCATTTCACTCCTCTGGCCTCAGTTTCCTCTTCTGTAAAAGGGGGAGGGGCGGACTAGGGGGGCCTCCGCCTCCTGAGCTGCGGTCTAAAGTGGTTTCCTGCCTCCCCTCTCTCCCCAGTCTGCGGCTGAGGAAGTAGGAGGGCTGGGAGGCACAGCCCTGCTACTAATTAGCTATGTGACCTTGGGCAACTCATTCACTTCCCCTCTCTGGCCCTTTGTAAAAATGGGGGGAGGGGGAATTGGGCTGAGCTGGGATGGACGGTCGCTAAGGGTTTTTTCCAAGTCTAGAAATTTTAAAAGCCTCGTTCAATTTCAGGGACCGTGTTGCCCCTCCCCTCTCAGCTCTGACTGGCGGGTGACCGGGGGGCGGGCCCTTTAAGAAGAAGTAGATCCGGCTCCGGCGTCCGCGAGGGGAGGGGGTAGGGGAAGGGAGGGGCGGGTCACCGAAACTCCTCTCGGAGCGCTCCGCGAGGGTCGGAGAGTTCCGAGACTAAGAGTTGGGACGGAGACTCTGAGGCGCGTGCGCAGCTGGGCGGTGGTTGGTCTGCGAAGCTGGGGGCGTCGCGGGGCTGGAGCAGGTGAGAGGGGCGAGGCTGGGGCGTGGGGAGCGCCGGAGGCCTGAAAGCCGGGGGGGTGAGGGGCGGGGAGAGAGGGCACGCGGGGTCCCGCCTTTGGGGAGGGAGCGTTTGTGTGTGTGTTTGGGGGGGGTCCTCACGGCGCGTCCCGATCACGCGAGGCCTCTCTGGGAGGGCCTCGGAGAAGGGTCAGCCCGCTTCGGAGAGAGGGGGAGGGGAGCTGCCCCTCAGTCTTGGGGAGATTTCCACCCCCGCTGGGTTCGAGGCCAGGCCGGGTCGTCATGGGCCGTTCTTTCCGCTCACTGGACCTCAGTTTCCTTGGCTGTAAAATGAAAGAGTTAATTCCTGGGCCTCAGTTGCCGCTGTTTGTAAAAGGAGGGAGAAGGAGGTGTGAACTAAATCTGTGGCCCTGGAATGTGGTTTTTTTAAAAAAAAATATTTTGAAACTTTTACTTATTTAATTTTTAAAAAAATTGCAGAATTTTAATCCAAACTAAAATAAGTGTTTCCTTTGTAGTCCTGCGTATTTTATTTTATGCCTTTAAAAACATCGTTCTGAGAAGGCTTTACCAGACCGACTTCCCCCAAAAGGTGAAGAACCCCTGGCATAGGTGACCCTTCCAGCTCTGAGTCTTTTGACGCTGTGGTGGTCATCTTTGAGTCGTGGCTTCCCTTCCTGAGCCTCAGTTTCCTCATCTGTAAAATAAGGGTGGGGGGATTGTTTAGATGATTTTTAAGGCCCTCTTCTAGCTCTAGGTCCTAAGATCCTCTTAAGTCGTTTTCCTTTCTCGGGCCTCAGTTTCCTCACCTGCAAAATAAGGGGTTAGGTTAGATGACTCGTAAAGCCAGTTCTGTCCCAAACTTGGCATGGCCTCAGGAAAGCCACTTTCTCTTGGGGGCCTCAGTTGCCCCATCTATAAAATAAGAGGCTTGGACTAGAGACTGATTTTTATTTAGGGTCCCTTCCGACTCCTTTGTCCAAGTCCTGTGGTCCTCTTAAGTCGTTTTCTCTTCTTCTCTGCCTTAGTTTCCTCATCTGTAAAATAAAGAGGTTGTATTAGATCATCCTGGGAACACTAGGATATTGTCATAGATCTTTCCCTTCTCTGGATCAGATGTCAAATGAGGTCTCTTCCAGCTCAGTGAGTAACTGGTTCTTCCTTTTTGGGGCTCCCAAGAGTGGTCCTTACTCCCTCCTTCAAAAAGGTGAATCAGTAAGTGAAGGGGAAAACATTGCCTCGGGGCTGAAATTTTGGGAGCAGGCTCAGCCCATCTCCTTGAGAGTTTGTTGGGGACTTGGGGGAAGGCTATTCCTGTTGGGGGTGTTCTGTGACCTCCTCCACCTATCTCTGGTTCTTAAACTGTGAAACACCAGAAAATTTCACCAAGGACCCTGAACATGAACTTTGGATTTTCTTGGTGGTTGACTTCATTTAAAGATACTTATGTGTTTGTTGCCTTTTAAAGCTTAAAGCTACAGATCTTAATATTTTTAAAATAGAAGCCCTCAGGAGGTTTGACTGTTGGGGTGAAACAACTTTGGTATATGCTGTGAGGATTCTGAGAAAGGGGCAGTTATCCAGTGTATGTCCTGGTAGTGAAAATAAGCAAAAGTCTGTCCATATGACAAGATTAGGCCAAGACTTTTATTTTTTTGGCGTGTGGGGGGGGGAAGGTGGCATGAGTTCCATTCTCCCTCAGGAAAGCCCTATGCCAGAAATCCCCATGTTGGAAATCCCCACCCACTGTGTTGGCATATTAAGAAGCATCTTGATGTTTTTCCCCCTTACAAAAATAATTCCAAGTGTTTTTATGGCGACCCGAATTTTCTGAATTGTGTGAAATAACTTTTCAGCTTCCTTCCCTGTTGATTCAGATTAACTAGGTGTTTTTTTAATAATTTACTAAAGAGAGTTAGAAGCTTAAAAACTTGAAATGTCAGGCTTTTAACATGAGAGTTAATACAAGTTGGTCAAGTAATTACAGGGCCTTCAAGAGACCGAAACTTTAATTTTACTTTCATCTTTGACATAAAATAAAGGTCTCAGTTTCTCACTTTGTTAAAGTAGAGATAAGATTCAACAGCAACTTTTTCTGAGACTTAAATGTTTAAACTGTATATTTTGGGTACTTTGAGAGATTGTGGAAATGCTAATTTAGTACATTATATTTTTAGAGTTTTTTTATATTTTAAAAGCAGATTTTTATGGATATCTTTTGTTTTCATATTGACTAAATTTCACCTTTTCTCTTCTCCCCCCTCAGAGAACCATCACATATAACAAAAAACTTTTTTAAAAAAAGGAAAAAAAATCAGCAACATTTAGCAAAACCATCCTCTCACCCCACTTCAGCAAAGGATTTGGGAGAGGGTGTCTTCTCATGTCTCTTCTTTGGAGCCAGGCATGTTCTTTATAATTTTGCATGAGTCATTTAGATTATTTTGTGGTTATTGTTCACATTGCTGTAGTCTTTTGTGCAAGGTTCCTTGCTCTACTTATTTGACTTTGCATCAGTTCATGTATTTCCATACTTTTCTGTATTCATATTCATCATTTCTTCGAGAAGAGTGAGATGATTTTCTAAACAATTTTAGTGATATTTCTTTATATAACATTGTTTAGTTTTTTCAGAAGTAAAATTGTCTCCTGAACGATACTCTTTTTGAAATTTTAGCAATAGGTAGCCTTTCGGGGACATTCTACCATTGTAATTGTTTTCTAAAGTAGAGGGTTAAAGAAACTCCCAACATCTGAATTTAAAATTAAAAAAAATTGTATAAATATACATATATATACACATATATGTGTTTATACACACACATATATGTATATATATGTATATATATTTTTACTCTTGGAATGTTAAAATCTTAAGAGAGTGTGTGTGTGTGTGTGTGTGTGTGTGTGTGTATATATGTCTGTCTCTGTCTGTCTTCCTGTTTTCCTGGAATTTAGAAATTCAGTTACTAAACCAGGCAGAAAGTGAATCAGCCAGTTAGTTGTGTCTTTAAAGGAAATCTTCACTGATCACTCCCCAGAGCATTCTAGCCTAACTTGAGGGGTTAAATAGTCTTTCTGATCATTAATTACCTTTCCTGATTTTAGAGTACTAGATATCTTTGTGTGATTTATTTATGCACTGATTTTGGCCTGCTTTATTTGAGATGTTTTCCTTGAATATATAGAAGTATCTTGTTATTTTCTAGGTAGATGGCTTCAGACCTGCTTTTGTCAAAAGGAGTTTTGATCCCTTCCTGTTGGGATTAAAAAGCAAAGTCTTTTTCAAAATTATCTACTAGATCAGAACCAACCCCACAACCCACCCCTACTACTCATCACCCAGTAACCCCTGATGTTTTATGAGACCTACCTCTGACCTGATTTGTTAGGCTGTTTTGAGGCTAAAATAGTTTTAAAATATTCTTATATCTGTTTTCTATTTAGTACTTTGCCAATTAAAAATATCCAATTATTGTTATCTATTAGAATAAAGGGGATAAGAGATTTGTCTTTGGATAGATATGTTAGGGCAAGAACCAAGATTTTAGGAGAACTGAACTTGAATTTTGGCGGTGATGACAACTTATGTGACCTTGAGTAAATCTTTTCTCCGTGCTTCCATGATTTTTCTACTTTAATAGTGGAACAAGACAAATAATAATAGGAGCAGGTAGGTATCATGGTAGATAGAACGCTAGGCCTGGAGTCAGGAAAACCTGAGTTCAAATTCAGACCCAGACACTACTAACTATGAGATCTTGGGCAGGTCAGTTAACCTCTGTTTGCCTCAGTTTTCTCATCTGTAAAATGAGACTAGTAGTAGTACCTACCTCCAAAAGTTGCTGTGAAGATCAAATGAGATAATATTTCTAAAGTGCCTGGCACATAGTAGGTGCTATATAAATGTTAGCTATTGTTATTATAATAATCCTTGACCTGATATGAAGATTGTTGGTTTTATTATATATGTTGAGTCTTTCTTCTTTCCCCAGATTGTTGTTTACATATGCTTAATCAATAGTTTTAAGTGTTGTTTTTTTTTGTTGTTTTTTGGCAATTGGGGTTAAGTGACTTGCCCAGGGTTACACAGCTAGTAAGTGACAAGGTTTGGTCTGAGGCTGGATTTGAATTCAGGTTCTCCTGACTTCAGGGCCAGTGATCTATCTCCACCGCGCCACCTAGCTGCCCCCAGTTTTAAGTGGTTTTAAAAGGCTTTAAATCAAACTTTTTGATTGCATTACTCCCTATGGTTAAAAAAAAAAAAGAAATTGAGCAAGCACTCCCAATGTATGAATGCTCTCTTTTAAAATTGTGTAGATAAACTGGGGTGTGACTTCTGTCCCACCCAAATAAAAAAAGGTAGAGTGTACATGGGGCTTTTATTCTCCCCTCCCCCTTTTTTTTGAGAATCTTATTTAATACTTTATTTTTCCTAATTACATATAAAAACAATTTTAACATTCTTTGTTTTTCAAATTTTGAGTTCCAGATTCTCTCCTGCCCCTCCCCCATTGAGAAGGCAAGCAATTTGACATAGGTTATACATGTGTGGTCATATAAAACACATTTGTGTGAGTCATTCTGTGAAAGAAAACACAGACAAGAAAAACAAAAAGAAAGTAAAGAAAAAGTATCTTTCAGTTGTATTCGGGCTCTACCTGTTCTTTCTCTGGAGATGGACAGCACCTTTCATCATAAGTCCTGAATTGTCTTGGATCATGATATTGCTGAGAACAGCTAAGTTATTCATAGTAGATCATCATACGATATTGCTGTTACTGTGGACAATGTTCTGCTTCTGCTTATTTCACTTTGCATCAGATCATGTGAGTCTTTCCAGGTTTTTCTGAGAGCATCCTGCTTGTAATTTCTTACCTTTCCTTTTTTTTTTTTTTGGGTGAGGCAGTTGGGGTTAAGTGACTTGCCCAGGGTCACACAGCTAGTAAAGTGTTATGTGTCTAAGGGTGGATTTGAACTCAGGTCCTTCTGAATCCAGGGCCC